TTCCGGGTGGTGGGCGACATGGGATCCACCGTTCGACAGCGTGCTCAACACCCTGGAGCCGAGTCGACCTACGTGAAACGCCTGCAGCAGGTTATAGTTGGAGTTGTCTGTGCTGAGGCATTCGAGCGGGATCTCCGAGTAAGACTCGTAACGGGCATCCGGGCCACACACCCTAAGCAACTTCGACACGTACGGCGCCCCGGTGTCTAGCGACTTCCGCTGAACCGCCGCCCAGTACGCGAACCCGTCGTGGTAAAAGCCCCCAATGTACTGTACTTTAAAATCGCTTATGACGTCATTGCGGATGATCATTGCCGATTGGGAGACGATCTCTCCGGCGAACGTCAACTGGAACATATTCTTGTCACTAAGACTTCGACTGCAGACGGCCGGAAAGTGGTCACGGTAGGCATCGAAGGTGAACGTGGCGCCGACGTACAACACAGAGTCGTTCTTGGGACCCGGGGCAACGAAAGCAGCCGTCGTGGCGTTCGGCATGTTCGCTGCCACCGGCACCATCTTGTCGGTGAACACTGTCTTTGAGATATCGTCCAGTCGATGCACCGAGCAGATACCTTGCAGAACCGTGCCACATGCGATCAGCACCCGTTTTTCCCTGTACACCACCAAGATCTGGTTGAAATTGTCCATCAGCGTCTTCGATACGGTCCTGTTTCTCTGATGTTTGGTATTCGACTCGTAGTGGAACGGAGATAGGATGCACTGGCCGTCGTAGTTACAGTAAGGACTGTCTGTCTCCGGGCCGTTCCTTACCTTCTGCAGCAACTGCATTCCACTGTCCAGTTGGTACAGGTGATTGACGCCGCCGACGTATATGTAGCCAGTGTCCAGATCACGAGCCAGTTTCCTAAAGGCGACCGGGCCGTTGGTGGTAGGGTCCGAGAAACGAGCGACAACCGGTGACTCCTCAGCATCGCCTCCTCGGCTGATCGAAATAGCTGTGGCCAGCCAAAGAATGCGGCCGAGACAACGCACCCCTCTTCGTGACATCATCACTGCGAAGTTGAGGCAAAAATCACTGGCGAGGAGACGACCGGGGACGATGATTCGGGCTCATCAATACTCTGAAAACAACAGTACAAATGAAAACGACTTATTTCTGGCGGCGCGGCGGCCAGCCATCGTTACACGGCCATATATCACACGGAACGCGTGGTTTTGCGCGCATGCGGGCACAGACGATCGCGAGAGGGGAAAGAAAAGAGGCGAACGCGAAACTCATTGTTCGCCAAAGAAAAACATGTTTTTTTTATTCGAAAACTCCTTCAGCCCGCATCATAGGCATCATCACTACAAGTGTGAGCGATCTTTCGAACCGACCACCCATGCGAGAAGCGGCAAACCAAGCGCCGGACGGTTAATTTGAGGGGGACAACGAAAGATGGGCTTCCTGAACATCGGAGCAAGACCGAAGTGCCGGTGCTACCTCACAACAGCCATGAGAGCAACCCCTACGGTAGGTACAGTACCATAAGCCGATTTGAGACGTACGATGCACTCCTGAAAGCAACCTGCAAATATCTGGAAACCCTTGATCGGTTCAAGACTGGTTGACGGTTCAGAATGGCAATATGATCATCGTGGTGAGTTAATGGCCAAATTATCCCCAATGAAATCATCACAGTCGAAACCAAGGCCTGATTTATCGGACGTCTGCGTGAAAACACAGAATATTAAGAGTATTAAGAGCACCCAAGTTACGAAGCAGAGCTGGTAGGACTTAGTAACGCTGGCAACTTACAATTGCAAAGCACTTCAAGGCAAGCTAAGGCTTTAAAATTTGAGACTAGAACTAAATAACTTCCAGCGGGAAATTATTAGACTCAGCGAGAAGAGGCGCTGTTATAGCTTAACAGTAGACACCCCCTGTTCTACAAAGGATCAAATGAAAAAAGAGGGAAGCAGGACGAATGATGTTTAAGTATACTATTGCAGCTGACGCTTCGGCTAGGAGACGATATTATCAGAATAAACTGGAATATTAAGCCGAACCTATGCACTGTCATTTGATCAGGAAGAGCCATTGAGCTTCTTCACAAGCATGATTATCAGCAAAGCCTCAAAGTTAATCATTTATGTGCACCAGAATTTTGACCATCGGCTACACCTTTCCCCCCCCCCCTCAAGGATTAAAGAAAACTCTGTGCTTTTCGGTCGTAGGAGAGATCTGCTAAAAAAATAATGGTTCATATTTTCCAACGGCGCACCTAAGTCGAGTAGAACGGATGCATTACTGTTATAGCTTGTAAATAGTCGTGTACTTAATTCCTATTTCTTACCTCTAGTTTCATTTCAATGTTTCTTTGCCACTGAAAAAATTACCTCTGGAAAAACCACTTACCATTAAATCATAAAACTCTTCAACAAAATATAGCAGTCAAGAGCTGAACGGCGAAATTTCGATGAACCGCTGAAAGAATGGCAAGCATGGAGTCGATGAAACTGACTTTAATCGCAACTGATTCAACATGGTGGCAGCAACGAGAGAACGAGTGAAAGAAGAACAAAACAAAACCAACTGTCCGACATCCGTTTTCTGCACTGAGACTCGGATTTGGCAAAAAAAAAAACTCGAGCGAAACAAACGCAGAAAAAATCCGTCCTCGAGAATTAAGAGGACGGAAGCCACGATGATCTCTGCCAAGCGATGCAGGAGAGTGGTTTCCATTCTTTGTTTTAACTCACTTTCTTGACGGCTGATGTTGGCTTGGTGTCTCAGACACGCCACTTGCGGACCCTCGGTGAGCAAGGTGGCGAACAATCAGTTTTTGTCTTTCCGTCGGGCTTCAGCCTCCTCATTACGAATGAGAGGGACGCGAAAGGAGGGATGAGGAACAACGAAAGCATACACTCGCGCTCAGGAAGCAGTAGTGTCGCAATCTGTTGCGCTATGCCGGGAAAAGAGTCCTTGGAGGACTGTAGACTGGAGTAATCGATCAACGGCGAAGCGGTCCATTGCAATACTGATGGCACGAAGAATTTCCGAAGATGAGAAGAACGTTGATTTCACAGATTATGCAGAGACAGAGGAATTGTTACAATTTCAGAAACAGATGTTTCGAACGACATCTGCGTCGTCGAGACGTCAGGAGCCGGGAGCCTGGAGCCGGCGAAGCTGGATTAGGGCCATTTTACGTCAACAGTAGATCTTGGCGTTGATGATGAAGCAGGCGCCACTTATTCAAACATATCGACGACACAAGTGCTCTCATGATATTAAATCGATTATAGTCTCAGACGATGATGGTAAGCGCCAATCATCAAGTGGAACCGTCTGATTCGGCCAAGGGTTGGTTCGGCAACAGCTGATCGCGGCACAGCAGCTCCCATGAAGCCATTACCAAGGTCTATCCGCCGTCACGCGACTCCTCCATCGACTCAACATGATGACGAACTTCTCTGTCTTCAGGTGGTATGTCTCCGTGATCGACCATTGTCGCCAGGGACCGCGTTTGGCCCCCTATAGTCTCAAGCAACCAACGTGATCACAATAGATTATATACGAATCAGAGCGAAGGCGGAAGCGAGGGGTTTGTCGGGTCGGACAGCGTTGAGAATCCTTTCCTAAATTAGCACAAGTTTCGGCGAACAACACACCATTAATTCCGCTCACAAACAA